GTTAATTTTGACTTTGTTGTAATAGCACTATAATAAAATCTTTAGTTCTAATTTTAAAAACCTTTAAAATTCTTTCCTAAATTTTAAAATATTTAGAATTGTTAGGGTTATTCGCCCTATGTTTAAAGTGCTGCAGCGGCTAGTTCTTGTTACCACACTGTATAGGTGTTATCTTGTGTAGTCTTTCTGTGTGCGTGCCGCTGCTATTCTTTACTATGTGTGCACGTAGTAAAGAATAACAGCGGTACGCACACAGAAAGACTACACAAGATAACACCTATACAGTGTGGTAACAAGAACTAGCCACTGCAGCACTTTAAACATAGGGCGAATAACCCTAACAATTTTAAAAATTTTAAAATTTAGGAAAGAATTTTAAAGGTTTTTAAAATTAGAACTAAAGATTTTATTATAGTGCTATTAAAACAAAGTCAAAATTAACGTGTGTAAGATAAAATAATCTACAAACCAGACAGTTATCAACGAAGTAGAAGTTGATAATAACAAGGAAAGTGTTTTTAAATGTTAAATTTTGAGCTGGATGCAGTGTGACAGCGACGTGAGTGTTATACACCTGATGATGGCCGTCTGAGGCCGAAACATGTAGTGTAGGGGAACAAGATCAAAGACACAAAATATATTGTTTGCACTTGAGACGGAGTTTTTGTCATTATATCACATATCGTATGGAGTGCAACAGGATGCTTAAATATAATATTGAAACACTCAGGGGAAGAATGTTTATTTCACAGTGAATTTTTGGCTTGTTATTAAATTTAAAATTTGTGAATAATTTCTTTTGATTTTTAAATGTTTAGGAATTGTTCATCAAAGTTCTATATTTTGATTGAGGGGGGTGTTGTAGTATTAATAACAATCAAAATCACTTTTGTATTAATTTTGTTAGTTTGAATGTTGGCGCCTTATATTTCCATAATGTGTAGAGGGCGCTCTTTTCCATTCTTTTGTTTTTTTTTTCTTCCGAGAGTCTTCCAAAAAGAAGGGCGCTGTGAATTGGTGATCGCAGTGAGAGTCTGACGCTGCCTGAGAGTTTTTGTGTTCAACCTTCTTGTGATAAAGGGGGACATTACCCTGTCTCGTTCTTTGTGATTTTCTCTATAATTATTACTGTGATTAAACTGGTTATTTATTTATACTGCTTCCATTCTCAACACAAACAAAATAGAAAACTCGGTGGGTTTTCAGGTTTTAAAAAAGACTTCAAATCATTTTTATTGAAACATTCTTTTTATACGATAAATGAATTTGTTAGTTTTAATAAAAAAGTGGATGGTGCAAGTACTTATGTTTGGATGTCATAGTCATTCGTGAGCTGTACGTAGTAGTTTGTATATTTTTCAAATGTTGTATTTATATATTGCTTATGATTGTAACAAATGTTGGTAGTATGCTTGTAACTTTGTAGCTTTATTTTGTTAACTTGTATTACCAAATGACTTGTCCGAGTTACTATGTAGCAAAATGGATGAAATACAATACAGAAAAATACAATACAATATAGATCAACATTTTCTTGACCTCAGCACTACCTGCAGTTGAATGGTGAGCTTCATACCCCGGCTACTTTACCCCCTGGGAAAGAGCCCCCTCTACCCTTGGATAGGAGGTTGGAGGGACCCAGAGCTGGTCTGGATGACATGGAGAAGCAAAAACTCTTGGCCCTACTGGGACTCAAATTCTGACATCCTCAGTCAGCCAGCCTGTAGACAGTCACTATACCAACTAAGCTATCCCAGCTCCCTGATAGCAATGATATCCCCCGATAATTACTACAGTCAGTTTTATCACCCTTCTCGTGAACTGGTACAACAATAGACTCTTTCCACTGATCAGGCAATTTTTCTTTATTCCAAATAGAGTCAATTAGATTATGGATCTTACAATGTAATATTTCACTACCTGCTTGAATTAGTTCTGCCAGAATTTGATCACCACCTGGCAATTTATACCTTTTCAACTTTGCAATTGGAATTGCAATTACAACCTCAAAGGGTCTAGGATCAGGTACTAATGGCTTGGCTGGATGAATTTCTATTTGCCTAACATCACTGACCCAATGTACATTCAAAAACGGAGAGAAGTAGTTCTTCCACCTATTCAGAATGTTGTGGGAATCTGCAAGCAGATCACACTTTTCATCCTTCACTGTGTTACTCCTAGGTTGGTAACCCCTCTTAAAGTCATTTATTCCTCTATACATTTCTCTATTGTGCTTGTTCTTACTGTTCATTGTAAGCTCATCAATTCTGTCTTTCAGATATTCCCTCTTTTAATTCCTGAAATTCAATACAATTCAAATGGAATATTCCCTTATCAGAAAACATAGTAAAGCAAAATCTCATTACTGTCAATTTTCTGCAGCATTTCCTCATAAAATCACATTCTACAGTCATGGTTGGCTGGTTTGTGTCCTGCCAGAGCTGCAATTTATACACAGATAAGCTTAAACATTTGTGTACAGCATCATGAACTGTGGTGAGGGAGAGATGCAGTTGCCTGTTTGCTGTGCAAATCAACTTGTGCGAACTATATAGAAACTCTTGCAAATGTGCTTCTCATCTTTGTTGCATGTCTTTGGATGCCTGGTGATGTCTGATTTAAAAAATTTCCAGTTTCTCTCAGAAATTTATCTCACATGCAAGAGGGGAGAGTTTACACAAGAGACAAAGCTACCAGAATTGCTCATGTCTGCTATCTGTGCTACTCACCCTGCCACCTGCTCAACCCTGTCTACGATATTTTGATCCTGCTCATCCAAGACCAGAGTTCTTCATAAATGAAAGTTTCTCTATAATGGAATGTCTTATGTGGGGGTGGTTGAGGATGTAAATTTGTATACCCCTTTTAACCAAGCTTATATATTCTGCATTCTCTGTGTGGAGGTGGGTTATGATACCTCCACTGTAGCCCTGTGAGTCATACAAAGCAATGAAAAGGAAACTCAGTGTGTGGGGATATAACTGGGCCACCCTGTCAGTGGGGGACATAAAGACAGTGATCTGGTCCTCCAGGTTGGGAATTTGACACAATGCTGATGATCATGCTCTGTAAAAAAAATTACTGTTTCAAAGTCAAAAGAAATTAAATCCAGATGATCTAAATTTTCTAAGAAAGGCTATGGCTCAAAAAGAGCTCTTTTGCCGATGATGATGATGATGATGATAATGATGGCGACAACAATGACGATAATTTTGCATGAACAGTCATTTTTGTCTTAAAGCCAAATTTTCTCAAACATAGTATGAGTTATGTCTGTTTATTTCTGCTGCATACCTATAATACATTTTATCTTGATGCTGGATTGTGCCCAAAAATTACTCTCATGACAATACGGTATGCCAAATTGGCTAGTACAACCCAGGTCAATGTGACTCAGTATCAGTCCTTCCTAAATGAATGTGAACAGATTATCATTACTTTGTTAAATTCCTCATTATATCCAGTGAGCTCTTATATTTAAGCACTCAGTAGGAGTCCGCAGACATTTCAGATGATCACGTCACTTCCATCTTCAGGGTCAAAGCAGCCTACTTCTTGGTGGTTTCTTGCTTGTCTTACTCTTGAACCATGTATATGCACGTGATATGTTCTTCTGAAACATTGGTGGACTTCCACTGAACTACACAGCCTTACAACCCAGAACATCGCACTCATATTCACTGCTCTGAAAACTTCAATTCCAAAATAACTCTTTGTCATTCATTTTGTCACTTATATATTGCAAACCAGTGTGATGTTAGTGATAAGTTCTTTACATCATCTAGCAGTGTAAGCCACCAATAGGTGCTGACAGATCAAAGATTCTTTTGTACTTTATGGTCAGTGGTGGGCCTTGTTGGTGACATCTGGCGTGAACACACGTTTTAAAATATATCTGAATATTTGTCAATATTTTGTTAGTGACATAATGTGTAGTGTGTATAGACCTGAATCCTTAAAGACAAAGAGGACATTCTGAATGGGCCTGGGTTTTCACTTATGCGTATCACTGCAAGCCTTGCGGTGACATGATTAATTGATCAAAGTGAACAAGTTAAACAAATGGGTCAGCAATAGGAACTATAATGAAGAAGTCAGATCTCAGTAAAGGCCCATTTTTATATTGTATATTTTTCACTTTTAATACATTTCATTTCTAATAATTATTGAAGGAAACTTTATTACCACAAAAAATAGCTTAGCATTCTGTCTGAATCACATACTATGTAATTTTTTCAGTATCTTACATTGTGGAAGACTGTTCACATACCATCTTTCTTTTGCTTTGCTGGTTATATCTGCATATCCCTTGGATTTTGAAAGTGTCTTGGTGGCATCACGTCATTAGAACAGCACAAGAATGCCATCCTGGACTGCCTTAGTTTTACTACCATCCTGCAGATTGAGACAATCAAATTTTCCTTACATTGTTGATAGTGTGATGATAACTGTGGATAGTATTATAATTATTATTGGTAGGAATATTGTCCTTTTGAAGGGATAAAACATACTGAGCTAAACAAGATTTAAGGTTCTCTGCCTTCTCAGATATAATGCCGGTATTACGTTGATAGTCAATGGATGTTTCAGGGAACACGCAGCCTCCATTTTCAAGTTCTCTTTGCTACCTGCTTCACATTCTTTTTTTTTTTTTTGCCTTACTCGACCATGAAGATGAAGGGGACATGTTTCCCCGAAACGTCAACTGACTTCCACCGCTTCCAACAGATTACTTACTTACTTACTTATTCATGGAGCTGAGCCCTTCTGGAGGAGCCGCCAATTCTGCAGCTACTCAAGAATTTCCCAGCATTTTATATAACCCAAAAGTTCATTAGTGTGTTCACAAGAGCCCTCCACTGGTCCCTATTCTGAGCCAGATCTATCCAATCCATACCATCCCATCCTATCTCTCTAAGATCCATTCAAATATTGTTCACCCACCTACACCTTGGTCTTCCCTGTGGTCTCTTATCCTTCTGGCCTTCCCACCAATATCCTATACACATTCTTTGTCTCCCCCATTCATGCTACATGACCTGCCAACCTCATCATCCTTGACTTGGTCATTCTAATTATACTTGGAGAAGAGTACAAGTTATGAAACTTCTCATTATGCAGTTTTCTCCAACCTCCTGTCACTTCATCCTTCTTCAGTCCAAATATTCTCAACACCCTGTTCTCAAACACCCTCAGTCTATGTTCCTCCCTTAATGTCACAGACCAAGTTTCACACCCATACAGAACCACAGGCAAAATTACAGTTTTGTATATTCTAATTTTTATGTTTTTGGACAACAGATGAGAAGACAAAACGTTCTGGACTGAATGATAGCAAGCATTACCCGAGTTCAATCGCCTCTTAATTTCCTCCTGAATCAGGTTTCGATCCGTTATCGTTCCCAAATATCTGAACTGTGCACATTTTCAAAACATCTGTTTCCTATCTTTATGTCATGATTTTGCCCTGCCTTTTGGTGACGAGACAGTAGCTAATACTTAGTTTTCTCTGTTTACTTCTAGACCAACCTCTTTATTTGCATCAATTAAAGTTTGTGTGTTTTTCTTTATGCCGTCTACATTATCACCCAGCAGACTCACATCATCGGCGTAGACCAACAGCTGATGTGTCCCATTTAATATCAGTCCCACCTGGTTTCCCTGGACCTTCCTAATTGCATATTCTAAGGCAATGTTGAAAAGGAGTGGCAATAAAGCATCTCCTTGTTTTAGACGATTCTGGATAGGAAATCTGTGAGTCAAATGTTTACCTACATGGACTTTACTATATATTTCGTTTAAACACATTTTAATCAACCTAACTAGTTTCATGGGTATCCCAAACTCTTATCAGAATATAGTACAATACTTCGCTCCTAACTGAATCACAGGCTTTCTTGAAGTCTATGAATAGTTGATGTACTGTCTCATTGTACTCCCATTTTTTCTCCAATATCTGACGAATGCAAAAGATCTGATCTGTAGTTGATCTGTTATGTCGAAACCCACACTGAAGATCCCCAGTAATTTCATCTATATATGGACTTAACCTTGAAATAAGAATATTGGACAAAATTTTATATGAAGTTGATAGCAGTGATATCCCCCGATAACTACTACAGCCAGTTTTATCACCCTTCTTGCGCATTGGTACAATAATAGACTCCTTCCACTGATCAGGCAATTTTTCCTTATGCCAAATAGAAGTAATTAGATTGTGGATCTTAGAACGTAATATTTCTCCTCCTGCTTCAATTAATTCTGCCGGAATTTTATCACTACATGGGGATTTATAGTTTCAATTTTGCAATAGCACTTTCAACATCAAAATGGCTAGGATCAGGTATTAACGGCTCAGCTGTATGGATTTCGGTCTGCCTAACAGCACTGACCATATGTACATTCAATAACTGAGTAGTAGTAGTTCCTCCATCTATTCAAAATGTTGTGGGAATCTGCAAGCAGATCACCATCCTCATGCTTCACTAAGTTACTGCTATGCTGGTATCCCCTCTTAAAGTCATTTATCCCTCTATACAGGTCTCTAACGTTCTTGTTCTTACTGTTCATTGCATGCTCATCAATTTTGTCTTTCAGATATTCCTTCTTTTTGTTCCTGAAGTGCCTGCTGGTTTCACGTCTTATATTGTTCAGATTATGCCCATTTAACTCGCTTGGATCCTGTAACCATTGCAATTTGACGGCTCTAAATCCCAAGCGCTAGAACTCTTAAAACCGTTCAACCTGAGCTAAATTTAGCTTCGCACCTTTTGTAATGGAAACTAATCGATATGTATCGAAGGTCAGAGCGATACGTTTAGTTCCATCTACGAACGTTTATGCACATGTATTCCTTGCGCTGGTATACAAGTGCAGCCAAAGAGGTATTACAGCAACTTGACAGGAATAATTATAATTACCCAATGCACCCAATGAACAACCTCTATGGCCGAACTTTATCTGAAACCACTTCCGATTCCGGTGGGTGTCGGCATGGCGGCAGAAGTTGGAGATATGATAAAGCCTAGAGTAGTAATTTTAGGAGGTAGGCATGACAGATATAATTATAATTAGTACTGTTTGTAAGAATTATGACATTATACTGTAATTTTGTTTTTATACATTTTTTGAGTTATCATTACGTAATTATCAACAGTCTTACTTTCATTCACTGAAAGCTTGCATACTACAACGTTCGGTGTTAAAAACACCTGCACGAGGCTCGAATAGATGCACTCGCAGAATTTATTTTGTAAGGAGTTGTGAAATTCGTCGGATTTCTATGCAAGTAACCCTGTATTAAACTACCTTTGATTTTACACATGTCATTTTGTAATAAGTGAGAGACGTTTACTTAAAAATTGCAAGTGTTATGTATGTGTTGAATCGTCCGGTTCATTTTGCAAAGTAATATCTTTGTTTTCCGTAGGGAAAACAGATTATTACCATGCACCCTGTTCTTTAGGACGTGTATAACAGGAAATTATTTCGTCAAAGTATTATGTTCAATCTGAGTTTTACACCTTGCAGGTTGTGGTTTCATTGGCAGAAACCTTGTACAGTACCTGATTGAAAATGACCTCGTATCAACAGTGCGTGTGGTAGACAAAGTTCCACCACAAACTGCATGGCTCAATGAAAAACACCAACGTTTATTCAACATTCCGAAAGTCCAGTTTAAAAGTGCCAACCTGATAAGTCCTGGTATGTTGTGGAATACTGTTATACCATTACCAGAATAAGGAAATACAAATTGGAGGGTGCAGCATTTACATATGAAGACTATTGCTCTTTGCAGGCAGATTGCACAACAGCAATTCTTGTATATGAATTCTGAACTTGTATAATTTTTATGTAGGTACTAGCTGTACCCAGCCACGCGTTGCTGTGGCAGATCAAGTGAATTAAAAAATTCTGTTGGATAATTAACCGCTTCATCTGCTTCCACAACAGTGTCGACGGAGTTGTATGTGACTGCCTCGCATTGAATGTCAGACTGAATGATATTGTTAAGTTCGTAGACGTCTTTGTTCTTGGCTGCAAGAATAGCTCGTTTACTCAGCCAGTCGTGATTCTTATAATTGGTTTCAACATTGGGAAATACCTTTTCAACCAATTCTTCCTTTGACGTCACTAAATTGCAGAAGTTATGAGGCAATGAAATTCGTCCTGAGGTCAGATCAACCCGGCACCTTTCCGTTCCCAATTTCCAGCAATTGATGCGAGAATATCTCAGCTGATCGATCGTTTTGCAGCGGGACACGCATATTTGTAGTTAATTTTAACGTCTTTACGTGTCGCCACAAAGTAGAGTATTTCAGGCAAGCATTTATTTCGTCCACTGGTGTCGATCGACGAATTACAGGTAATGTTACCTGAAATCTCCTGCAAGTAATATTAATGCATTCCCAAATGGTCTGATGTTTCAACGCAAATCTTGCAATGATCGATGAAGAGCCTCGAGCGATTTTTTGTGCGCCATTGTGCATTCATCCCAAATAATAAGTTTGAATTTCTGCAATACCTTTCCCATGCCTGATCCTTTGGAATGTTGCACGTGGGATTTTCAATGAATTGCATGTTCAATGGCAATTTCAAAGCGGAATGAGCAGTTCTTCCATCTGGTAGCAGTGTTGCAGCTATTCCGGACGACACAAGAGCTAAGGCTATGTCATTTTGGGATCGAATTGTTGCCAGAATCAATCTAATTATGAACGTTTTACCAGTTCCTCTTGGCGCATCTAAGAAGAAGATTTCTGCAACCCCGTTATTGACAGTTTGCATGATTTGATCGTATATGCCTTTTTGCTCAAGCGTTAGCTTAGGAATATTTGATTGCACATACGACAAAAGATCACCCGATCACCCGTGTTGTAATTTTGTTCACGATGCAATTCTACATTGAACGAAGCAGCAGCAGATCGATTCGGTGATGGCATTCCCAATTGATTGAGAACTTTGTTCGCGATTTCTAAGCACAAATCCTCAATCATTATCAACGCCTCGTTGTAGATTTCTGCTGTGAAATCCATGTTCATATTGGAATTATCCTTGCACATTCGAAGGAAAATATCTTCAGCCATGTGCTGCTTTGTTGATTCCACGATTCCTACGCAACAACCCATTATTATTGCGTTGTCTCTTTGGGAATGCTCTGTGTCTTCGTCGTAACCATGGAGATTCGATACAGTATCACTGTTGTTACTTCCTATGCAATGGTCTGTTCTAGCGTTTCCATAGGGGTCACTCTTCTGATTTCCAATTCCGGTTTTCAAAAGACGCATGTTTTTACCTGTCACAGGTGTGACATCTATATAATGGGTATATAAAAATGCGCGTGTTCGAATGCAACGTTGTGTCAAAATTTCAAAGCAATCGGTGAAGAACTTTCGGAGATCTTTGAGGGCTAACAAACCAACATTTACATTTTTGGGTATATAAAAACACGTGCTTGTTCGAATGCAACGTTGTGTCAAAATTTCAAAGCAATCGGTGAAGAACTTTCGGAGATCTTCGAGGGCTAACAAACCAACATTTACATTTTTATTTATATAGTTGTCTAAACAGGATGATTCAAATTTCGCTGCAGAAGTGCTTCCTTGTAAGCTTATTTATTTATTTATTTATTTATTTATTTGTATTTATGCTTGTGTCAGCAAGGGAGCTATCTAGAGCCAGTGAACTGGAAAGTTGGGAAGTCATGCTTTGCAATATGGAACTTTTTTCTTTTGTTGTTGGTACTTTCTATGGAATGAAAGAAAGGGTGCTAGGCCACTCTGGAGTTATGTTTTGCTCTAGAAAAACTGAACAGACTGCCATATCATTCCACTGGTCAAGTAAAAATCTGTCGCATAGTTGAATCACAGGTTCTCAACTTAACCATTGGAGTGACAGTATCATTTCTGCTTCCCCATCTAACCAGTGTTTTGGAGAATTTGACCCAATTCTGTCATACAGATTCCTGATTGGTTTTGTAACAAACATAATTAGTCTCTTTGATAATTTTTATTTTCATATTAAAAATGAATCATGCCAGTTACACACATTTTTGCTTACAGCATTGTCTCCATATTTTCTGTCAATTGAGTGACAGATGTAGAATTCCTAAGAAGGAATGGATTTAGAACATGTAATTGAATCTCTTTTCTGTTTCAGCATCCTGCCAGTCTGCGTTGTCAGTGGAGGAAGGTGGTGGTTTTGATTATGTGATCAATTGTGCATGTGAAACAAAACCTGGACAAACTGACCCTGTCTACAGAGAAGGAATTTTGAAACTCAGTCTGAACTGTGCTGTAGAGGCAGCCAAACTGAATGTCAAGAGGTTTGTCGAGGTTTCCTCAGGGCACATGTGTTCCTCTAATAAGGTTAGTTATAAGAATGCAGTGTGCTTTGAACCACAGAATCCAACTTTATTTTAGATGAAAATATCCTCTGATAGACAATTAATTTGTGTACTTGTGAATCGAAGTTGATTGAAATTAAGCAAAAATTGTTGTTTACTTTGTTGATTACTGAGCTATGACCTCATTCCCCACAAGTGTTGGCGCTTCCCACTCCACTCCTATGAAAGTGTTCGTCCTTCCATGAAATATTGATGTTTCCTGTTTTTAAAAAATATATTTTTTCATGGAAGGTATGACCATAGACTGGAATCAAGGAAATTTTGAGGCTGAAGAGCCAGCGCCAACCATAAAAGAAGTAGAACAAGCTACCAAAAAATTGAAAAATAATAAAGCACCAGGAATGGATCTCATCACTGCAGAATTGGTGAAATTTTCAGGCCCAGAATATGCTAAGCACTTACATCAGCTGATAGTTAAGATATGGATAACTGAAATAATCCCAGAGGAGTGGAACCTAAGTATTGTATGCCCTATCCATAAGAAAGGTGATGTCATGGTATGCTCTGACTCTAGAGGAATTAGTCTGTTGTGCATAGCATATGAAATATTTTCCAACATTCTGTTTAACGGACTCTCTCCGTTTGTGGAAGGCATAATTAGAGATTACCAGTGTGGGTTTCATCAAGGAAGATCACCTATCATATTTTCACTATTCGCCAGGTCCTTGAAAAATGTAATGAATTCCAAATTGAAACACATCATCTTTTCATTGACTTCCAATCAGCCTATGACTCCATTGATAGAGATAGTTTTTTCTGGCAATGGAAGAGATGCACATTCCACAGAAGTTAATCACCTTAGCCAGAGCTACTACGAGAAAGACCCAATGCCAAATTAAGATTCAGAATATGGTCACGTGTTGGGCGTATAACGCGACAAGTAACTTCATGCCATATTGGATATAGCGAATTTATTGAACACTCGCTCTTACAATTACACAATTTACAATCTCACAGTTACTGCCATCAGCAGAATCACAATTACTTCTATTGTTTCAATTCACTCCGAAGAGTGCTAGACTGTAACTGGCTGGTTACTCTCTCTAGTAGCTCACGCACTCGTAACTGGCTCAATCCTCACTCACTACTGACTAGTGTTCACTGCTCCTTATTTAGCCTCGGCACGGACAACACAGAAAACAGGTACATGATAGGTACCGCTGTTGCCTGACGCTTTGTTTACAGGTATTGCTAGCAACACTGTCGGGAGTTGTTTACGGCTGGGTAGTAACCACTGTGTTATGTCACCATGGAAATGGTTGCCTGGTGCAGCCGCTCCTCTGCCACGTCACCACGGGGGATGGGGGCGCCCACCGAACATTGCTTACTGATGGAAGGAGTGGGGGGTATGTGACGTCACTCGAGGAAATGCAGAGTTCACGTGACTCCCACTTCCCGTTGTGCCATCCATGTCACAATATGTTGTCCAGCCCTATAATACTAGAAATGGAGTTCGACAAGGGGATTCCCTAGCCTGCCTTTTGTTCAATATAGCCTTAGAGAAGGTAGTTAAGAGATGCAGGCATCAACTCAAGGGGAACTATATTCTATAAGTCAGTTAAAATTTTGGCATTTGCAGATGATATTGATAATGTCACATGTTCGGAATCCAGAAGACACTTCCATAGTAACGCTAGAACAGACCGTTGCATAGGTAGCGACAATAGTGGTATTGTAGCCCCAACAGTTGATCGTTGCTCAGGTATTGCAGTATCAACAAAGCGTATCCCCAGTGATAGACAACAGAAGGTTCAATGCATAGCAACCGCCAAGGTTATAAAAGCCCTGCTTCGACAAGAAACAGTCTGGAATTAGTCTGGAAATAGCCTTCATAGAACACAGTATTACTGTCCTTACCGTTCGCCTACATGTTCGGCGTCACTTATACCTCGCCGTCACGTTCGCCCCTTTGTGGTCTGCACTTTCATCCGCCGCTTCCTTGTAGCTGTCTGGTTCAGGGTAGGGTGTGGGATTGCTCTGAATTTGGATTTGTGTGGGCGCCAGTGGACTTGGGTGAAATCCACGAATTTGGAACGGGAAAAACAAGAAGGGGATATGGATAGGCAGGCGTTTGGGGTTCCGACTGCTCAGTTGGTAGGACGAGATTCTGTCTCAGGGCAACTTCTGGGCCTTGCTCACACAAGGAGAGAGAAAACACTCAAAAATTCGCACTTCACCAACACTGTTGCTCTTTATTGTAAATGTGCACTAGAGTTACACATTACGAGGCCGTAGCACTTGGACTTTGTACACTGGACTTGGCCAACGCTAATTTAACGTCCAGGAGGTTACTCATGTTACTCCCTTTTTGCTACTCACTCCTGTTACTCACTGTTGGTGACTGAGTGCTCTGGAGAGGCAGAAGTCCTGACGGTTCTGGGAGCGCCTGGATTCCTCTCCTCTGAAATTTTGCTGATTGGCTGAACCTAAAATTTGGGTGTTTCTCTCATTTGCATTCAGCCAATCCCTAACCAGATCCATTTTAATTTGGGCCTACGTACAACACAGTCCCTCCGACAGCTCTCAAATAAATGAAGGTACACTAACGATCGCTTGGTACGCGACTCGTATCTGTCAAGTCTCCAATTTTCAAAGACTCGCACCATCGGAGTTAAGCATTGAAATTCCCAGAAAACACAGCAGGATACTTCCTGCTCCGTTCTGGGTTTTCAAGTGACCTGCAGCTTGCTTGTCCCTCAGAAAGACCAGATGTTGTCCTTGGCGTCTGCTGGTGCTGGGGTCAATTCTATATCATCTATTGTTAACAGTAGTACAGTTTGTTTACATGTAATGCATTGTAGTTAAGAATGTAAATGAAAAACATTCCTGAGGTTCCTGCATGGTGCGGTTACAACAGCTGGAACCTAGCCGCCAGAAGTCAAGTGATACCGCAGGCGATAATAACTGTATGGTGTGTAAGAGTGAATGTCCAATAAAGATTCGTTAAATCTGAGACCCACGTGAATTTATTTGTCGCGTGACATACCCAACACATGACTACTGGTGTCAGAAGTGGGTAGAACACAAAAATCTATGAAAAAAGCTTTTCTTAATTTGGAAAGAGCAGCAAAAAAGATGACTCTAGAAATTAACCAGAATAAAACAAAGTACTATAAATTTGAGGTTGTATGTAGTTTTACTTACCTTGGATTACCTTACTGTAAAAATGACATCAGTAACGAAATAAAAAAGCATGTACTTGCGGCAAATAAATGTCTCCAGGGCCTTAGGAAACACCTGAAATCCCAACTAATACCCAGGAAAACGAAAACTATGATGAATTAAGTACTTATAAGATCAGTGCTATCTTATGCCTCTGAGACCTGGCCACTGTCAAGATCGGATGAAGGACTGTTAACTATATTTGAAAGGAGGATCCTGAGATATATCTTTGAACCAGTGGAAGAAAATGGAATATGGAGAAAGAGGTATAACCATGAGCTATACAAACTATATAATGAACCAGACATTATTGGATTTATAAAAGTGAAAAGGCTTGAATGGGCTGTGCACATAATACGTGCCAGCGAGAATAGAACAATTAAGAAAATACTTAATACTAAACCAGAAGGAAGTAGGATAATGGGAAGACCAAGATTGAGATGGGAAGAATACAAGTGGCAGGACATAAAAATTTTGGGTGTAAAGAACTGGAGGAATGTAGCATTGAACGGAGAAGAATGGTGATCAATTCTGAGGAAGGGCAGGGTTCACAAAGGGCTTAATACTAAACCAGAAGGAAATAGGAAAGTGGGAAGACCAAGATTGAGATGGGAAGAATGTGTGTGTGGCAGGACATAAGAATTTTGGGTATAAAGAACTGGAGGATTGTAGCATCGAATGGAGAAGAATGGCGAGCAATTCTGAGGAAGGCCAGGGCTCACAAAGGGCTGTTGTGCCAGTGATGATGATGATGATGATGATGGTATTTCTTCATAAGATATCAGTTTTTGCAAACAAACAAAAAATGTGTATATGATTTATTGTGGCCCAGAATAACATACTAATATTAGTAAGAAATATATCTTTTTTTTGACGCATGTTTGAAGAACTGCTTGCATTGAAATGATTCAGTTTGAATATGTTGTAGAGGAAAGATGAAGAGAAAATTTAATACAAGTGAATTGAACTGGCTGAGAAGGACAGGTTTATTTTATTGTGTCATTTTGTGTACCCATATAATATAAGTCTCCCTCATTATGACTTTTGAGCAAGATGGATTTCTTAAAACTTTATATGAACATCATGGCTAGATGCTAAATATATTTATTGTTAAAAATTACAGTGTGGCCGTGGTGCAAAGCTTTTAGGTTATATCTGGAAGTTATGTGTAGAAACTAATACTATGAAAAAAAGAACCATTCTTAAGAAACTGACATCTGCTCAGCTGGTCAAGAAATTCCCAGCCTTGTATGAATCTTGAAAGATTAGTACTGTGCTCACAAGAGCCTGCCATTGGTTGCTAGATGAATCCAGTTCGCACTTTTATATTTGCTGTGCCTGAGGTCATTTTTTTCCCTCTTAATATTACCCTTCAATTTTTGCCAGGGTCTCTTCTCTTCAGGGTTTTTGCCAGAAATTTTTGTATGAGTTTTACAATTCTGTTGTGTGCTATATGCTCTGGCCTTCTCATCCTCTGGTTCTGATCATTGCAATAGTATTTGTTGAAGAGTACAAATTATAAAGATCTTCATTATGTAATTTTCTCCGTTCTCTTACTTCCTGTATGTTAGGGTCAAATATTATCCTCAGTCATGCACAGAAGTTGACCATTAAATTGCATGATTATTAATGTATATAATGTCAGCATGTAGTTTGAATCGTGTCAGTGATTGTATGTCATTAGTTTCCTTTTTAGAGCTTTGTATAAGTTTATATTTTCTATAGAAAATGCAAAGGTCAGATAAAGAGCAGTGGCAACACCTCTGTAGTTCTGAAATTACTTTATTACCTGAGGTAAACACACTTACATTCCTTCAATATAATTGCAGCGTTTACTGTATGTCGTTGAGGTACAGTGTGGTGCATTATCACTCCATCAGTGTCATATGCCACAATGAACATCGCCTTCACATTACTCTGTGTAGGGCGCACTTTCTTTGGACAAGGAGAGCCAGGATGCTTCCATTCATTTGATTATTGCTTCCAGTGCGGTTCATATGAGTGAGCCCAAGTTTCATCCAGAGTGACGATCCTTCCAAGGAAGTCATCGCCTTCCCTCTGGTACCGGTCCAACAAGTCCTGTGCAATTGCATAACGTTGCCATTGTTTCACCTCGGACATTGTATGGGGTACCCAATACGCTGCAGTTTTGCGGTATCCAAGAATATTGTGCAGAATGTGGAGCACTGTTTTGTGACATATACCTACCTCAGCAGCTAACTCTCATGCAACCCATCGATGATCGACATCCAGCAAAGAAGCAAGAAGCTGAATTGTGTGGTTGTCAACATGGGGTCATCCTGAACAACAGCTGTCCTGAATGGCATCCCTCCCTTCACAGAACAATTTCACCCATCGTGCCACTGTGCGATATGGCAAAGCACATGCTTCTTGCCGTCCCTGATAACAGTTTTGTGCACTATGACCTCGTGCAACTTCAATTTTTATCCAGGAGCATTATTCTTGTTTTGTAAACATGTTGTTAGGGTGCTTGAACTGGGCTCCTACACCTCAAGATGATGCACATTGCAACTCAATGAAACACTACCAGAGCCACTCACTGCACTACTTCAACTGAACTTCTGCTATCAGCTACAGATGGCACTAGTGGCACCTGATGCACATCTTTCATGTTACAGCAGTGTTGCCACTACTTTTTATCCAACCCTTGTAGAATGAAAAATAACCTATGTTAGTAAACTATATAATAGTTCATATAGATGAACTATTGAAGATCAAGAATAAATTGTGTTGTCAGATTCTTTTTAATTGTACTCTCGTTAATTTGTACAGGTTCCCCACAAAGAAGATGGGAAGATAGAACCATGGACGTATCTTGCTAAGTTTAAGAGGCAGGTAGAAGAAGAGCTTCATAATATTGCTGGCCTTAATTTCACAATTGTAAGGCCTGCTATTGTGTATGGAATAGGTGATCGACATGGTCTGGGTAGGTTCTTGTCTTATATGGAATGCTTTTTTTTTTTTAATTGTAGATATGTTTCAAGCATTCAGAAGGTAGATATATAAAGGAAGGTAAAGCTATCCCTGTAACAGGCCATGAAGGCCCATAGGGTGTGAGATGTTGAGGTTACCACATTTTCTAGACAGTTGGCTCACAGATGGCAGGAAGGTTGTCAGTCTTATGCACCGGCTGCTCTTTACCCCCCCCCCCCCCCCCGAAAGNTGTTAAGAGGCTGAGTCAACCCCAGGTCCATAGTACAGCTGGAAGGATTCAGTGACCTCATCAGGAATCGAACCTGTGACCTTCCAGCTTGTAGTATAATGCCCCAATGAACTACGCTACTGTGCCCCCCCTCAGTCGAGATATAACCCTTACCATTGTAATAATTGCTGTTACTAAATATGCATGTTATAGGGGGGGGGGGAGGTGACTGTGACCCTGGTCCTGGTATGCACTGATCAAAAGTCCAACCCTGTCAGTGGGAGGGGGCTTTTCAGTGTTTATACTGGGCACACAAGTAACTAGTTGTTAATTATGTGAAAAATGTGAATGCAAGTATCAAACACTTGTTATATGAATTTTCGCTACAACAGTGTATGTTAATTTGTCCCTGTTTTTCACTTAACAAACTTAATTTTCACTACAACAAACAACTTACGTAATTAAGTTCAGCAAGTTTGTATGTAAATTAATTGGAATTTTATTTTTAATTTACGAATTTTTATGGAACAAATTACCTGTGTGAATTTAGGGATACCTGTATTTAGGTGGAAGCTTGATACTCTCTAAATTTTCCAGAACATTTCCGTAAATTGTTGGTTTCAGCCCATTATTAGTCCTCAACTTGGACTCAAGCAATCTAGTTATCCCTTTGTTATTTATGCTTAGAATATAACAACGTTTAATGTGTTTTCAGTGCCGCGTCTTGTGATTGGGGCAGTGTACAAGCATCTAGGTGAGATGATGAAGCTTCTCTGGGGCAAAGACCTGAAGATGAACACAATACATGTGACAGATCTATGTCGTGCTATCTGGCACTTGGCATTACGAGATGATACATTGTCTCAAATTTATAATGTGGTGGACAAAGGTGACACTACTCAAGGAATGATTAGCAACCTGGTATCTGAAATATTCAACATTAACCATGACTATTGGTCCTCTATAAACTTATCATTATGTAAGGTTAGTAGTTGTTTAGAATTTATAGTACCATTATCAGTTCCATTTCTCCTAACCTGTACATTTGTTTATTGATAAGTGAAAATTGTTAATTAATCAGTATGAAGAATGCTGTCTTCTGGGATGTGGCAGCATGTAGATCTTATGTGAGCCGATGTTTCGGAGAAACGTTTCGTCTCCATCTTCACGGTAGAAAAATCAATGAGCGAGGAACCAGCTCTCTCTGGATTTTTCCACCCTGAAAATGGAGGCGAAACTTTCCTCTGAAACGTTGGTTCACACAAGATCTACAAGGAGCCACATCCCAGAAGACGATATTCTTCATAGTCACTGCTGTGAAAATGTGAAATCTTGCATAATATTGTGATGTGTTGCACTATGGATGATGCCCCCCCCCCCGCCAGCTGTGACGCGCCGAGCGGAGCCAACGTTAGCCGAGTCCCAGCATACTGGTCGCTATGCAACGCGAGTCAACTGCGGTGACGTAACACGGGATGCCGACGTTGCTACACAGCAGGAAACAACTCCTGACAGCGTTGATAGCAACACGGCACCAGACAACAGTGGTGCCTATTACGTGGCTGTTTTCTGTGTTGTCCGGAACGAGGCTAATTAAGGGGCAGCGAAGACTATTCACAGTCAGTTCCGAGTTAGCCAGCAGTTAGTTCTCGAGTTCTCTAGTTATGAGTCAGTCACCAGTTAATTGTATTCTGGCATAATTGCAGTACAGTATTTGTGATACTGTCAATGGCAGTAATGTTGAACTTGTAAATTGTGTGATTGTAAGAGCGAATGTGAAATAAAATTCGCTATATCCAATAAGGCGTGTAGTTATTTGTCGCGTTATACACTCAACACGTGACAACTGGTGTCAGAAGTGGGATTGGACTTACACACGTGACCAAGAAGATTCAAACTCAAAACGTGACAACTGGTGTTTCAGAAGTGGGATACGAACTTACACACGTGACCGTCAGAAGTGGTTCACGAACTTGAACATGCCTCGATCTAGGAAGAAATATTGAATTGCATAAAAAAAAAAGAAAATGGAGGAGCAAGACTTTCAACTAATACTTAAAATGCTAGAAGAATTGGAGGCCAATAGGAAAAAAGAAAAAGAGGATATCCTGGCTAAAATGGACGCCGACTGGAAAGCCTGGCGAGAAAATGCTGCTGCGGAAACGGAAGCAACCCAAGAACGGACGGCACAACAAGAAGAGGTCCCCGTAGTTATACCGGTCGGAGAGACAATGGCCTGCCGAGAAATGGAGGTATGTCTAGTAGAAGAAGAGCCAGCTTCAGTGGACAGGAAACCTGAGGTGGCAGAACTATGAGAGGTACCCGTACAAGATGCTGAAGTACTGCCAGTCGGAGAACCGAAGAAGAAAAGGCGCAGGGACCGACATCAGCGAAACATGCAGAATCCGACACGGGGAAGTCTTGGATCCCAGAATAAATTGGCCGTTGTCCGCAGGAAGGTGTCCCGCCATGCGACAGTGGCATGGCGCAAGAGGAACATCCTCAGAAAATCTTCGACTCAAAGAAATTGTGGACCGTGGCACGAAATGGCTGCTGACAGAAATCTGACTAGTTGAGCAGGTGTGACACGGCGCAAGAGAGACCCCGTAAAGAAATATTCAACCAGGGCCAATGCTGGACAAGAAGCCTGGAAAGGAAGGATGGGAAACGTGACAGGACAGACGTCCGGGAGGAGGCGTCAGCCACAACAGAAATGCAGCAAAGGCATAAGGAACCAAGACGTGGAGGAACTGCTACGCCTGAGAGAGAAGACCGTCAGTGTGACTTTCGGAGGAGAGTTCGCGAAACAAGTAGTCTGTACTTCCAACGGGTTACTGAAAATAAGAAAATGGACACTGTGGAGGGGTTGACCCCCTCCAAAACGAAAAAAAAAGAAAAAGGCCCGTATGGGAAGAACCGGTAGTAGAAAGACCGTCCTCCCTAGCAAGAGTGAAAGAGGAAAGAATGAAAGCGACGGATGACTGTGACACAACTGGATCTTCTGGCAACTTAGAAGGGAACCGCTCGAGATGAGCTTTGCCGTAAGAGGGGAGCGGATGTAACGGAAGAATAGTCGCTGCAAGAAGAGTAGCTGAAATAACAGGAGACGCAGAAAGCCATTCTTTGAAGAAAAGGAACGGTGGTGCACTAAGGAGGGAGCAGTGTGACGTGTTGCGCTATGGATGACCCCCCCCCCC